ATTACTTATATTGTAAATTTTGTTTGAACGTTCGGTTTGTCCTCTGTTTAGTGAACATTTTTGTGAAATTCAAGCTATTTTTAGTCGTAGGCTTAGATTATTTGTTGTTCACACAACCCATTTCTCCTTGACCTAAACAGCAAGATTATCATATACTCCATCTCGGTTGTTACAAAAAAATCCATCTCACGATACCAAAACGTTACCGGTGTTTAGTGCGTATAAAGTGTCGGTACAGCACATTTCTTTCTTTCGCAAGGAGCTAGGGCGCAGGCCGACTAGCGTCTTTGGTGGCACACAGCCGACGTACTATTTCAAAATGCGATTATTACTTCATTTTACATTACTTTTCAGGTATCGTCTGAACTAGACAATGGACGAGTACCAAAACAGTAGAAACTATTCTCAGTGTGTAAATTATTTTGCCAGAAAAATATTCTCAAGAATTGAATTTCTTCATTACACAAATTTTTTAGATGGGTATAACGAAACAATATTTACGTTATGTGCATAGTGGGACATGCAATGTGGTTGCTTCAACAAACGGTTCCATAGCATCAGTCAATAGCAATGTGTGTGCCGTATCAGCATGCGAGAATGTCAATTTCTACAATTTAAGGACATGCGAAAAGGTTATTCATCTGTCCAATTGTTCTTTTTCTGTACAGCCATTCAATCCTCAGTTCATCATTTCCGTTGTGGTAGTCTCAATTATTGGATGTAACATCTATGTTATGGATGGTTCATTTATCTTGTTTATTTATGTACGAAGGTTTTGTCCAGTAACAACATCTCGATGGCAATATTAAAAATACTACTTCGAAAGCATCACTTATAGGTAATTATTCCAGGTGAACGAATTGAATGAATCGGATAAATGCGTAACAACGTTAAAATTCAGCACTAATCGGCGGTTTTTGGCAGTTGGATATGCGGATGGTGTTATTCGGTTATTTGATCGTAAGAATGAAGGTTTGTTATTTTCGATCTGAGATAAGAAGTGATTTATTGTGATTGTCATCTAATCTGATTGAATATCTGAAATGTTACATCTTTATTCAACTCTCATGTAAAAACTCGCATATTGAGTTTCCTTCGTGAACAAGTATGAATTCAGCCATCAACAGATGAGATGATTAAGCTTGTTAACGTGATCAGTTGTATTCGAAATAATTCATTTAGATGGCCAGGTTTACGCAACCTTCGCAGGTCATAAAACTGGTGTTAATTGCTTAGCGTTCAGTCATGACGGCCTTTTACTTGCCAGTGGTGGAAAGGTACATATATGCCCTATTTATTCACTTTACTTAATTTAATCCATATCAGTCTCATTATCTATTTTGTCTACTTTAATTTTTTGTTATTATAACTGATCATTTAAAATTTTACTGCGCTTAGATTAACAGACACACCGGTAACGGAACAATTTATCTACCTCATATCTAATCATGTTCATTTTGACGTATTTATTTTCATTGTTGTCAATTTTGATTCTACCAAGTTCTACAGAAATAACGCTTAATTCGAGATTGTCATGAAAACAAAGTAAAAAAATAATCTCGAATAAAATTATGAGATAGCGCCACAAATAATTTCATTTGATGCCCGAGAAGGATTATTACTGAGACAAGTTTTATTCCATATTACAGTTATAAATTTAGTTTTCGAAATTAATGTTTCTTAAGTGATCAGATCAGTGAATTAATATCGATTTGTAATAGTCAACTAAATGAAACAATTCACTTACTGACAGATGTAAAAGTAAGTGAATATTGAAGGATTCAACAATAATATTGTGGGACATTGTGAATGAATGCGGCTTGTTCCGTTTGAATGGACACAAAGGTTCAGTAACACAGTTACAATTCACGTTGAATGGAAGATATTTGATAAGCAGGTTGAGTGGATCGCAATTTTATTTTTCATTTAGTTGATCTGTGTTGTGAAACAGTCAGAGATAACGAATACGGGTCAGCAAAAGCGTGNCCATTGTAATCGTGATGCCCTATAAGTGTTGTAACCAGTTAGAAGTTAAATGCTCCAAGTGGCATTGTTTTAGATGTCATTGATTTTGTGGAACTTTCTCTTCAAAAAATTTTTAATCTGTCAAATATTCAGCTCAAAAGATACATTTGTTAAATTCTGGAGTTTGGATTCTCAAAGCTGCTTCTACACGTTGACTGATAGTCGTTCAGAGGTTTATTTTCTCAGTTCATATATTTGTTTAATTTATTTATTGGAGACTCCAATAGGTTGCATATAACTTGTGTGCACGTATTGGTTCATAAATAGCATCACATTGTATCATATTTCTCACAAATACATATTTTACAATAATTCATTTGGACATAATGCACATATCTATTTTGGTATTGCCGTTTTCATGTTAAATGCCCGTCCTACCATTTTCTTCCATCTGTTTAGAGCTTGAGATCGGCACGACATTGAAGGTTGAGTTAGGGGAATAATAATGCTGATGTTATTAGTGATAATTTGTGAAAAGTGTAAGTTGTTTAAATGTTCCTCACTTGAAGGTTTATACATTCGGATTGGTCAAAGAAGATTCGTTGTTATTACTGGGTACGGCAGAGGTGGAAATACGTGTTATTGAGTTAGTTTGGTTGGAGAACGAGGGCGGGAACGACGATCGAACGATTGAGGCGAAGAGACAAAAAGAAGAAATCGACAGTAAAATTATTGACGTAGATGATGATCTAGCGAATGTGAGTTGAATTGTCATTTGTTCATTTTACTTGTCTAATCAGTATAGATAAATTAATTTTTACATTGCTGAAACATCGACGATCCATATTTTTTCCCATAATTTTCGTCTAAATTTTATCATTCCTTTGGTGAAATTAGATTAATTATCAGGAAAAATTCTTTTGTCAGTTTTGTTCGTGTTTTTTTTGTCGATTTTTCGAGTAGTATCATCCCATTGTTTATTGTTATTTTATGATGTACTTGCTATTTATTAAATATTTTTTTGATGAAAATATTTTCATAAAAATGAAGGAAACAATTAATAAATTGAATAAAAACGACGGTTGTATCAGTAAATTGCGTGTTGGTTCGTTCATTGTGAATCTTTTTGCAACGAGATTGATAGCAGTTCTTTTGACCTATTACACATTGAGTTGTATAGTTCAAGATCGTTTGTCAATTTATTTATTTTCATATCTCCAAATCTATTTGAATTCAACTTCAAAAATGGATTTATCGTTAAGGGCATAGTTCGTTGTAAGAAAAGAGGTCAGCTGCTGCGTTCATGCAAAGGAAGGGCATTACAAATGGCAATTAGCAGCGATGAAAGGATCGTCGCGTGCGTTGTAAGTTTTCTTTTGAATTCTTTTGCAATTTCATTCATTTCCAATTTCGTATCAATCATTGTTTTAATAACGTCATGTTTTATGAGGAGATCACTTGCGACTAAAAATTTTTACCTTTCATTTTTCTCGAATTTGAGCATTGATTATCACATCATCTCAGAAATAAATTAACCGTGATTTTTGTTAGAAATAATTTATCATTTTCCAGGGATCATCAAACGTGGTTGATATTTATCGAATTTATTCAGAAGATGAAACGTTGAAACGGATTAATAAAAAGTTGAAAAAGGCAAAGAAGAGAGTTGCTGAAAGGTATGATAGTTATACAAAATATGAGGTTTCATAATTTTTCAAATATAATTGCGAGTGAATTAGACGAATCGCGAACGCAGAGTGGGTAATTGAATGACTGAAAAAATATTTTGCAGCGATGATGTCGAAAATTCAATTTCGGAATCGGACATATCAAAGGATGTTACGACTCTAATCTCAAGAATTGGAGATTATAAATCTGATGTGAAAGTTAAATCCGTTGATTTTTGTCGTTCTTTTTCTGAAGTTGCGCCACACTGCTATGAATATCCGGTTAATCATAATAATTACAGTTCTCTTTCGTTTTGTGCGTTTGTCTGTGAATTATTGATATTTGCTTGTAATTATTTATTGAAGTGTTAATCACTGCACTAATCAGTTAATGCTAAACTGTAAGTAGTAGATGTGACAGAAAGTTTCTGCCATCCCGAGGAAGTTTTCCGAAAACTTTCTGCCATACTCAGTAAGTTGCATATTCATAAGCAAGTATTTTTATGTTAGAACATTTAAGAAGTTTTATAAATTCATTCTGTGTGAAGAATCATTTGAATGTCAGCAGTTCAGATGTTCATTCTTCAATCAAATAATACTGTTCATCGAATAACAGCAACAGTCGATTTGAAATCCAATGGCATCGAATGTGGCACTATTTCAACGCTGGATCAGGTTCATCTCCTACCTTTTATGAAATATTTTTTCTCATCATAAGGAATCATCCTCATCTATCATCGAGCGAATTCTTCAATTTTCTAAAAATGTCTGACGTTGTTGAATTGTATGAAAATGTGATATATTCATATGCTTGATTATTTGTGTATTCATTTACTTCATTGTTGAATGTTTCTGAGTGAATATGAGTGGACTTTGCAGTTAGGACATCGAACTGATGTACGTTGCTTATCAATGGCCGAAAATGATTTTGGCTTCGTATCTGGTAGCAGCGAATTAGCAATTGTATGGAATCGTTACAATCTCAAGGTTGATTTCATTTATTGATTCCGAATTCACATCATTCTTATATTTGATCCATCATTCCTTCGAACTTTTCACATTCGAAAAGAAGTCCATTCAAAATCAGTTTCATCGACAATCATCGTTGGTAACTACTTTTATACAAATAACAATTAAGGTTGTGAATGTGTTAGAGGATGAGAAAATGAAGGATGTAACGGCGGTTTTGTTTGTACCGGGTGATAAGCACGTGCTCACGGGCACAAAAGTGAGTGACTTTTCAGTTGTTATCTTTATGAATTCTTTTCGTCTTTTGTATATTCATTCATTCATACTGTGGTTTTGGAATGTATGCACAAAAACTCACTACTCCGTTCACCTATCACTGAAGTATGTTCATTGTTCAAAGTGTGAATGAAAAAATATGAATCTCTGGTCAGGTTCTCGGTCAGCTCAATTGAAATTCAACTATAATCTAGCCTGAGATCTCAAAATGAATAAATTTTTAGAATGGAAATGTATTCTTATTTGAATTGTCAACAAATGAATCAATTGAAATGAAAAATGCACACAATGCTGCCATATGGCGTTTAGTGTCCACACCTGACAAGGTAAAGAAGATATTTTGCGTTTCATTTCTTGAAATTTCGTTTTATTCTGTTTTGTTTTCTTTTATTTCGTNTTATGCTTATGCACTCTCGTAACAGTTGAATGCACTCACGATCCAAATATTCAGAAAGGATTTATTTCGTGTGGTGCGGACAAGAAATTAATTTATTGGTCATATGAACTGGTTGATGAATTTGACAGGTTTTTATTTTGTTATTTTGTTTTCATATCACACTGATTATGACATAAGGAAGTTTATAAAACTCTTCAAGAATAGTTTCTATGGGTAATATAACTCATTGTTTCCTTGATCAAATTCTTAATCTTATTCAAATTTTGACTCTTCATTTTAGTTAAAGCCATTATTTAAGCTTTAAATTGTTAAAAAAAACGTAATTTCAGTGAGTTCATATGATTTTTTGATGATGTGAAAATTTTGCAGAAAACGACTGTCGATGCAAGAAAAAAGAATACTCGAATTACCTGATGAAGCAATGAGCGTTGCAGCAAGTAATGATTCGAAATTCGTTGGTGTTGCTCTGTTGGATAACACGGCACGAATTCATTTTGTTGATACATTCAAACTGTTCGTAACTCTTTATGGTCATTCATTACCTGTCACCACTATTGATATGTCATCTGTAAGTTTTTTTGATGATTTCATTTGCGTGTCTTTCAATTTATTTTATACCTAAACTCATCCGAATGAAGTATGGAAAATTTCGTGATTATGAAGAAAAAAATTTCAGGACAGCAAACTTGTGATAACTGGTTCGGCCGATAAAAGCGTGAAAATATGGGGAATGGATTTCGGTGATTGTCATCGATCGTTGCATGCGCATGATGATATGTAAGTCTGTTCATAACGGAATTCGATATTTGATCTTTGTTTTATGAGGTATAAGATTTGAACCTTGGCCCATTGCATGTTATTGATTGATCACTTTTTTGGATATCACGAATATCTTATAATAATTATTGCAAAGATTCGATCTACATCTCGGCGGCATTGAAATAAACGTCTTTCAAATAATATTCTAATATTTACCACTATAAGATTAATTTTGGTTCAGTGTGACATGTGTGCAGTTCGTTCCAAAAGAGCACTTGTTTTGGTCATCCGGTAAAGACGGGTTGTTAAAACAGTGGGACGGTGATAAGTTTGAACGTATTCAAGTGTTGAGTCTTCATTCAGCCGAAATTCGCTCGTTGACGCAGACGAGTAATGGGAATTTCATTGTAGGGCTCATTTTAATTACACAATCATTTCGCAGTTTCATTATCAAATATATTCCAACATTATTTCAGCATTATTACTGATGCACTTCAGTAGAACACTTCTCTTAAATAAATGTCATTTTTTCAAATAAAGTGACGAAAGTTGTTAAAAGTTTGTGATTTTTCCAATGCATATGCGTAATGAGAGTAATCATGAATTCGAACAGTATGATATCTGATGAAAATTGTGATCAAGAAATAAATTTAGGTGTCGGCGTCACACGATAGATCAATAAGAGTATGGGAATTAACCGAAGAAATAATCGTTTTGCAAGAGGAAGAAGAAATGGAACGGGAGAATGAATACGAAAAGAGATTAACTGAGCTGGAGGATGTTGTGCCTGGAGAAGAGAAAGATAGTCAAGTTGAATTGGCATCTAAAAAGAGTGTTATGAGTATCCGATCGGTTTGTATTCATTGACGTGTCAGAATTTAATTTCCTGCGATACTTATGATAAATTTGCGTTCATCTTCATTAAAGGCGACTGCTTTTTGATATGAAAACTCATTTTGCAATACATCTCAAGAATTCAGTAACTGAAGTTCTCAAAAGTGTAATTCGATGATTGCTGAACATTATAGGCTGAACAAATAATTGATGCGGTGGAAATCGCAAGGCAAGAGGTCATTAAGAAAATTGAGGATCCAAAGGTTAGTTCTCACCTATTTTTGGATGAATTCTCGTTGATTTTTGTTCGCATTCAAATCCGTATGTCATCAAATGATTCAATTTCTTTCAGGGATCTGTTCATCCACTGATGTTGGCTTTGAAAAGTCCGTCGCTTGATCATTTCATAATTGACGTTATTCAACGTGTTCCTTCAAGGTTCGCTTTTTCATTGTAACCGTTGTTGTCTTTATCATTATGTTGGCATTATCGTGCAACGAGCTTATCAATAGGTTGTTTTTGTCAACCTTATCAGCGAACGGGAAATCATTTTCGGTTTTGTTGTTAAAAGCATTCTCTTGATAGTTATCTTTTATGTTCCAAGGATGAAAAAATAGCGTCTTAAAGGTCATTTGCGATAAGTCATTAAAATTTGAAAGTATTTCATTTGTGTGAACTTTAAATTGTTTTCAGTCATTTGGAAAAATGTCTTTTAATGGTGCCGTTTAACTATGTACCAGATATATTACGTGCACTCGGCGAATGTTCATCGAAACATTACAAAGCTGAATTGGCTTGTCGAGTTCTCCTTTTTCTTATCAAGTTAGTTTAATGGGGTCATTAACGGAAATGTGTTCTCATAATGATTATTACTGTCATTTGTCATAGTCCAGTGAAAATAAAGCAGCAGGTTGATTACTGTTTCAAGAATAATGAAAAAGAGCTGAGTAATTTTTAAGGATTCATCACAATCACATAATAAACTCAGAAGACATGATTCATTTGATCGATGACTTGCGTAAAAATGTTCCGTCAGCAATCAACGAGTTAAGGGTAAGCTTTTCGTATTTTAATGGTTGATTTTGAATTGGGGATTATCACTGATCCATTGGCATCAAATTTTATGATTAAATTGCTTTTATACAGCACCGTCATGTGATCGAAATTTAATTTTAGGATATCTGTGGATTCAATCTGGCTGCATTACGCTTGTTTCAAAAAGAAATTGAAGAACGCAATCAGACGAAAATGTTTATTGATGTATCAGAAATGGTTTCGAAGTCGAAAAAGAAAGTACGGAAGGGTGTCATCAAAACGTTGGTATAGTTCAGCGGTACAATATTTTATTGTATTTGGTATCATTGAATTGCTAATAAATTATCGATGTTGTTTCTGTATTCATCAATATTGTCGTTATGAATGCATGTATTGATCGGGATTGTCATTTATCTCATTGTTGAGATTGTCAAATTGATCAATCTGGATCACTTTTGATGTTCGGATTGAAATGTCATCTGTATCTGATATGGAGAGTTTTAATCGAATTTTTTTGCAAATATGAGTGATTGACGGATGGACGTGGTTCGTTCAGAAAAAAAAAAGAGATGCTATCTAGTAATAGCCGGTCTTATAACATATTTATTTATTCAACTGTCACATTTGAGTGTAATATGCACTGTCATTATTTCATTTTCTGCTGTACGAACTCTTCTTGGCATTCTCAGTAATACTTATAAATAAGCTAGTAGTTTCTATTTTCGTTCAATTTTTGAAAATTATAACCGGTTTATTGTAATAGTTATGAAGTGTGAAATCATAAATAACAATCACTTACTTCGAAAATTATTTCCTTCCGTTCAAAATTATTTGTTTGAAAGACTTACCAGCAGAATACAATGTTGTTTGTTTCTTTTGCGATGTTTAATAATATGTTTGTAAATTTGTGCAGTTGATTACTGTATTGTTGTTGTTGTTTTCGAGATTGTAAGGTTTTGACAGTAATTTGTTCGTTGTTGTTTAGTTGTTATTTTCAACGTTGTTATTTGAATGTACAAAATTCATGGTGATTGTGTTCACTGTTGTTGATTTCGTGAAAGATTTTATTGATAAATTGTTTCATAAATGGAAAACGCTGTTTTGGTCTCGTTGCATTTTGATGGCGAAGAGTGGACGTTGCCACAACTGCATCTGATTGTTTATCGCAGCTGCATAGATCAATCATAAACACTTCTGTGAATTTATTGAAAGTGTGCTTATCTGAAATGAATTTGCTTCATCATTAACGTTTCATTATCATATCATCATCAACACCATGAATTCTTATTTCTGCCTTTCAGTTTTATCATTGATCCACTAGTTTTCATTACTGACAATGAATATTTCGTTATGAAGGGTGAAAGTGATAGCGTGAGATGATTCAACGAAAATGTTTTAGCGTTCTTAAGTGGAATATGCATTGATACTATTCATTTATTAAGAAACATCACTCTTGCATTGAGTAGTTTTTTTTTGAAGATCCAGCTCAGTTTTGTTAGGTCATATTTCATCAAATTTCACGACAACTTTCATTTGAACTGATAAAAAAATGACAAGAAAATTCTTGACCACTTGATGTTTACAATCCTTTCAATCATTTGTTTTGTTCTTCGAAAGATTGTCTTTATTTTTCCAATTTCTTCAGTTGTTTGCAGAATAATCAATTGTTTCATTTAGTTTCATGCTTTAATTCACATATATTTCATACATCTGATTCTTACTATCTCATTCACAATTTCATTTCCACTTACTCCCCGTTCATTCCGAACGGCCTCTCGAAAACCTCACCACTCGTCACACGTCTTTTAAGCATGAAGCAAAAAATTTTTTAGTTGAATAGCTAAAATAGCTAAAAAAGTTCACTTTTTAACATCCTATTCTTTCTTCACTGAAGTCAGTTACTCGCAAGAGATTCGAATGGAAGATAACGTTTTTAGTTCTTTTATTTGCTTACAAATATATTCTGGTCGATCATAAATGAGAGATGTTTTTGATCGCAAAGAACAATCTCTTTAGGTGATCGAAATTCAGGAATTCAATGATGAATTTGGTACTCGCTAGTTATTGTCATTTAGGGGCAGTTGTTGTTCGTTGGAATTGATTACTGAACTGTTTGCGTGCTTGAAAACGCCTGGCAAAAGCATAACATCTAAAAGCTTTGTTTTTCCACTTTGTTTTGAATGTTGCCAACAAATTTGATTTATTTGTTTACCATTAGCTGATAGTCGCAAGTTGAGAAAAACAGAACAATTGGCAGATTAATGTGTAAAAATCGTTTTCTTATACGGATTTTGAGGAATCATTTCACTGAAACTGAATGCACGAATGTTTTATAAAAACAAAGTATTTGATCAGTTTTATTAATCGAAGAAACGTTTTCATTTAACTTCTTCGCATCAATTGAAAAGGAAGTATTGATGTTAAGTGCATTTGTGCATTTGTCATAATTTTGTGTAAAAACGAACAATTTTTTGCAACAATACTTAATTTTACTAAAAAGCTTCATCGAATGCGTGAAAACCTCTGCTTTGCGTTTTTGCGAAAGAATTCACTAAAATTTTCAATGTTCTCAATTAAAACAGCCTTTGCAAGGAAATGATATTGGACTGTTTTATGCAGTTAAGTTGTTACAAAACGAACATAATTTAATAATAATTTTTGTTATTCACTTCTGATCACTTCAGTTTAACGAATCACGTATCATTGATGAATGCGTATCACCATTAATATCACTCTTTATACGGTTTTTGATCATAAATTACAATCACGTGTTTTTGTGTAATCATTTGGAATCATTGACGCTTGCTCAACTTGTTGATTGGTTTGTTTCTCAGTTTCAGTTGCTTTATTCATTCGGTCATTGTTGGTCGCATTTCTTTATCGTGTTTCGAAAGAATCTTTTGATAAAATGCTCCTATATGAGCATTTTATCAAAAGCTCCAGAGTTTTTTCTCAAATCCCTCTGAGAAGTTTTGATTGTAGTTGAATAATTTTCTAGTTTCACATCATTGATTGTGAGACATTCTTTGTTGGGACATTCACATAAATGCACTTGACCTTTTTCTAGGCAATCATTCGTGCTTGTTCTTCAAATTTTCTATTCTGCATGGAAGAAGCCAATAATTTTTGTTTTCTCTAATCCACTCTCATTATCGTAGTCGTATTGGGCAATTTAATGGAGACGATTTATAATCCTAGTTGAAGTTATTAAGCACATACATAAAGTATGATTTAGCTGGTGCTTTTAGTGCATTCTTATGACTCGATTGACAATGAATATATTTTGTGAACAATTATTTATAAAAATAATTCAGTGTTATGTTCAAACTCGAGATTACATTGCACTTCAATCTGCTTATTATATTCCTCTTGAGAAACGGCTTGTTTGTGATTTGAATGGTTCTTTATATAGACAGTAGTTTTTTTTTTAAATGGATAATTACCTTACGTTTGTGATCTTGTGGTTCTTCACATTCGTGTGATTTTCTTCCGATTTCGGCCACTTTTACATTCCGTTTCTATCCGTAATGTTTCAGTTATCCATCAAAACTTGAGCACTTCGCCTCAATCAGTTCGCTTGCATATGGCACTACTAGGCTTTGAGATTATCGTTTTTGCTTATATAACACTGAAGTTTTTCGATGATTAAGGTACGTAAAATATGTAGGATAAAGTTGTTGTTGAATGTAATGCGATATGACAAACTGAAGTTTTTCTTTGAAAATTTATGGCACATTGAATGTTCACTTGCAGAAAAAACACTTTCTGTTTATCGCTATCTACGTTGATCACTTTTTATCAGTTTCTTTTGCCAGGATTATTTGTTGTTATCACTGATTGTTTTAACGATAAGTGTGATATTGTGATAATTATTACTGTGCACATAATTATTTTTTGGTTGATATTGTCGTTGATATTTGAGTGCGAAGTGCTGCTTTCTGGAATTGATTCATTCCCACTGATAGTTTAAAAGATGCTGTGCAGGTGAAAGATATTTGCAACAACGACTTTAACCAGTTGGCAACGGTCATACAGTACACACACACACACACACACACAAACAAACTCACACTGTTATGTAATCGCGACGTTAAATGTGGAAGCGATCTTTGTTCTAACAGTTCTTGCGAATTGAGCTGTTTTCATTCATTCCGAATCGAATCGAATCATTCTTATTGTAAACACTTTAATCGTTCTCACAAAACATCACATACACTCCGTTAAAAATTCATTAATTGCCCTCTCTTCCTTCCTCTCAATTCTGATATTTTATCGGCATGTTCTTGTGGCATTTGTTCAATTATTTCAACTATGAAAATGCTATATTTTTGAGTGATTATAAAATCCCATTTTGTATGTTGAATTGCGGAAAAAATCTCCATGAAAACGATGAAATAGGAAATTCTTCGTTTCCATGGAGGCATTCAAGGATTTGTGTTGTGCGTTCAAGAAAACAAAAATTTCCTTGTAAATAGGGAACCTAAAAGTCCTAGCGATTCGAACATTCATGTACCTTATTAACACCTTAGTCAATTGTTCACTTTTCTTCGTTGAAATCGTATCTAAAAAATATACCGAAGAAGTAATCTTCAAACTGACCTGATCACGATGTAGTTTAGGAACTTTTGATTCTAGAAACCGCTCAAAATTTGATTTACGGTGAGCAATTTCCTAGACAGCTCGAAACTTTCATGATTGTACTATTCTACAATGAATCAGTTTCAGGAATTATAATTCGAAAATGCACTAACGATAGTTTTCAAAAAAAAATGCACTAACGACAGTTCTGTTCTTTCGTCTGTGACGTTCTTTTGTCGCTGATGTTGCTAATTTTTTTACTGCTTAATTTATATACATTTCACTAATCAACAAGTCGTAAAGTTTGCTTTATAAATTAATTTTTTTGGATTGTAGTTACCGTCAACAAGTGTTTCGTCATTCACTCAGATCACCTGACAGATTCAAAATTCAGCAAATAACAGATTCATTTCTTATCAACTATCGCCACTTTATCAGCCATAAATAATAATCCTCTATTCGTTAATTCCGAGCGAATTTCTGTTCATCGCGATGAAATGAAATATTTGCTCCACAATGAAAAGTACACCTATTTATTCGATATCGTCGACAGAGAACTAAATGAGTTTTTTTT